CCCTTTTCCAGTCCTCTGGCACCATGCCAGAGCACCATGAGTGTTTGTAAAGCTGTTCCAGGGGTCCTGCTATCACCTCTGCTAATTCCCTCAGCACTCAGATAGAGATCATCAGGACCTGCTGATTTAAATATGTCCAGTCCCTCCAGAAGTTCCCTGACTAGGTCCTCACTGACCTTAGGCCTGGGTGCACCTCCCCTGGGACCTACAGGGGTCCCGGTGGGGGGGGGGTGACCCAGTCCCTGATCAGAAAAATGGAGGCAAAGAAATTGTTAAATAGGTTAGCTTTGTTGTCTGGTGTGAAGACCAGATTTCCTAACATGTCCTGCAGAGGCCCCACATTACCCGGTACCTTCTTTTTACCCACTATGTATTTAAAAATGGACTTCTTGTTGTCCTTGATCTGGGTAGCTAGTCCCAGTTCCATCTGTGCCTTGGCCTTCCTGACTGCCCCGCTACAGCCCTGAGCAAACAAGGTATAGTCCTCCCTGGTGATGGTCCCTCCTTTCCATTGGGTGTACTCCTCCTTTTTAGCTAGGAGATGTTCCCGTATGCTTTTGGTGAGCCATGGGGGCTTTTGTGTTCTTTTGCCCCCTTTGATCCACATTGGGATTACCTCCCTTTCAGTTCTCAGCAGTTTGCAAATGTGGCTGTGGCTGGACTTTACAGAAGCGAAATGCTCAGGCCAGAATTGAAGCAGCTTGTGTCTAGAAGAATATGCATGATTCTTAAACAGGTAGAGGCATGCTTTAGTTATTCCTACACATGCTAAAGTGCCTACCTTTTGGATTATCTAGATCAAATTTGAAACTGCAGGCTGCAGTGTACGTTTGTATCACACCAAGTATTAAAAAATTCCTTGCAGTTCTGGAAAAAGTGTTAACACATCTGTTGTGTAACATCCAAGGTCATTTTAATACCAGACCTGTCAATACAAATAGTTTTAAAATCTGTCAGTTCCAGAGTTAACAAGCCATAGACGCACAAATAAACAAAAAAATGAGTCCACTAGTAGTCTAGTAATGTCTTGAGTGCATCATTTAGTGTAATTGCATATATTTGTGCTTTTAAAATTAAGTTTCACTAATTCTAATAGCATGCCCTTTAAGTACATTACCCTGGATACGTTAGGATAGAGGCTGTGTAGGTGTAAATTAGTGCAGTGCCTGCCAACATTTTGATAAATATATTCTATGATTTGTAATGTTAGAAAGAAAACTTCATCCATGTAAAATAGATTGTTTTGGTCACAGTATACTCTTCAGTACATGAAAATCTGTGTATAATTTTTTTTTTTTTTTTTTTTTTTTTTTTTTTTTTTTTTTTTTTTTTTTTTTTTTACGTTTCCTTCTGAAAATAAGAGAATCAGTTATGCAGCTTTGCGACTTCTACCTTTTTGGATTCTCCCTAACAGTCAATGTTGGTCTAACTGTGTTTCAGTTCCGGAGACTTCAGTGAGAACAAAGTTAAGCTGTGACATAGTTTTTGAAAACTGTACCCACTGTCTTTTATGGAATCAATGTGGAAGAGAGTCAGTTACCTTCATCCTACTTATTTTTCTATGTATTTGTACAATACAAAACTTTTCAACTTGGCTACCTATAGCCATATTTTGGTACTTAAGCATATAATAAGGTTTGTCAGTTGCTTAACTAGTTAAACCCAGTTGTTGAATGTTAAACATCTGAAAAGTGTTGGTAAGATACCCCTGTAATATGATCTGAGCATCTCAAAATTCTTACAAAGGCATTTTATTACTATAGTGATGGGTGGGATTTAGAACCCTAGTGTGAGATTTTCCAAAAACACTTCTTTGTACATTAGGAGCACAAATCCCATCGAAAATATGACCTTCAATTTAAGTAAAAAACTCAGTGGTACTTGTTTTCCTTATCCACAGAACTATGCAGATTCCATCTCTAAATAAGTGTATCCTAGCAAATCTTTATAAATTTTTTTTGGAGAAGAAGGTAAAACAGGTAAAACTTAGGAGAAAATAACAGGAAATAACTTAGGAACAGGTAAAACTTAGGAGAAAATGATAGCAGGCAAAAGACCAGCATGGGGGTTGAGGTAATGCAGCAACAAGTTTCCTCCTATCACCTTCTAGCAGTAGTACTGGAATAAGATAAATATCTTGACCCCATTTATCTGCTTCCCTATTTCTAGTAGCTTTGCAGGCTGAAAAAGGCTTGAATGTCAGGCATTAGGACACAGAGACCATTTAAATATGTTTAGGTGTTTCAATACTTTTGGAGGCAGGTTTCTTCCCCTAATTACAATACAGTATTGGATAATAGCAATATTTTGCATCTGTTTTATATTTCAGATACCCAGCAATTCTGAAGTTCAACTACTGTTCAGCAAGGCACTGGAAGCCTGAGTTTATTAAGAAAAAGTATTTATTTATGTTACACTAGCACCGTTACCAGATTTGCCCAGCACTTTTTGGGGTGTGATCATTTATTAGAGGAACATTTCTAGGGTCTTTGTAATTTTATCAATGTGCTGCTTGTATTACTTGTGTTTCTATACAGAGCTGCATTTCTCCCTTCTGCTATCTTGCAGGACTCAGTTTCAATGAGGCTGGGTTCCTCCAACTACCAAATCAGTCAAATACATATGCACAGATTAACATGATATGCCTGACTCGGCCGGATTGATCAGCATGTACAGGCTAACACCTTCATATGCCAGGAATCAGTTCATGAGGGCAACAATAAAATGCAGTCAGACACAAGCACACAGGTGAACAGAATACCTCTGAATCAGGCTGGGTGTCCAACTGACAACCTCATGGGCCAGCATTCAGTTCATTAGGGCATGTCTGAGCCAAACTGGGTTAATCAGCCTATACAAGCTGATCCCCTTGTGTGTCAAACTCAGCACATCCCAATCTTTTGTTCTATCTGTCCTACTAGTGATAGCCTCTTGATGAGCGGACCCCACAGTATTTTTGGGCTTCATAGGGATCTTTGGCTTAGGTAAAAGATGTGTTGCTGCAGAGCAAATGGGGAAGGGAAAGTAGAGAAGGAAAAATACACCTGGTTACCACCAGTTTGACTATAAAAGTTATTTATTGCTGAGTATATGGATAATAGCCATGCAAGCAAAAACAAAGACAATCACAGTATTACCCTGGTTCACTTGAGTATTTGGGGAACTACTAAAATTTAAGTTCAGAAAGCTATGCCTAGAGAGAAAAAGAGAGAGAGAGAGAGAGAGAGATCTGGGATCTCACCATTTCAAAGCACTCGGGTGTTTTGTTGATGGGCAAAGTTCCTAGCACGCTTGTTAAAGGTTAAACAGGCGATGGAAAGAGATGGTCTGTTTATCCCAGCTTCTCGAGGACAGCGGATGGTGTCAGAAAGATTTCTCCCTCTTGAAGCACACAGTTTGCTGCTTTTACAGCTTTCTTATACCCTTAGTCCAGCCTCTTCAAAGCATTATTTTAATTATGTAAATCAAGAGGGTCCCAAGCCATAATTGACAGGGAAATTCTGTTATATAAACAGTTTCAATTTAAATGAATTACCTTTTTCAGTGACAAGGGGTTATCTGGTTTGAAACATCTCAAGAAACTGATTAACAACCAGGAAAAACATTAAGTTTTAAGGAGTAACCAGACACCTGGGAGCCATCTTGAAATTATTATGAATATAGAAGATATATTGGAAGGGATACCATATTGTTTCTTCTCAGATGGCCTAGCTGTGCTTGCACTGTGAAGTCAGCATCAGTGTTTTGTATTTTACTTGTTGTGAATAAGCCTCCACTTATCATGACTTTCAGATCTTACTGTAGTCTTTTAACACACTTAAGGGGATTACTTGGAGTGTTCATAAACTTTGTGGGGAAGACTTCCACCAGTCATCCCATAGAAAGTATGGCAGCATTTGTGGTCAGGGCTCCAACAGGCTGGATGCTGTGATGAACCCTAAACCATTGTTCAAATGTTGCCCATACCTCCTCTGACTCGGTCTCTTGCCTCAGCATTCCCTAACCTGGCAACCGAGTTTTAGTCAATCAAGTTTAAATAGGCTTCCTATACTCGGACTGGGGAACTATATGGCCCTAGATGCCTATTAAACTTTTCTTCTGCTTAGTTCTGGTTTGATAAATTGGGGGGGGTGGGGAATTGCTTAGTTCTGGTTTGATAAATTGGGGGGGGGGGGGAATGCAGAATTTAAAAAGTCCTTTGTAAGTCCAGCAAGCTAGGTGCCAGGGCTCCCTCAGGAACACAGAGCTGACAGGTAACCACCCAGAAGCTCCAGCTGAAATGAAGGCACTGGTGTTGTTAAGCACTACATAAAGTAAGAGAAACCCCTCCTGCCAAGAGCCCATAATGTATACAGATGAAACAAAGTATTGGAAGCGGTAGCTCAGAGGTGAAGTTGCTGTACTAGTGCCACAGCACATCAGTGGGAGAGCTGGAAATAAAACCCAGGCCTTGAGTCCTACAACAGTACCCTGTTCACTGAGTTACATTGCTGCTTATCTTTGGATTGTACCATCGCGTATCATCCCTTCATATAGAGACCTTTTAAACACATTGGATGAATCAAAGCACTGTGTCTGGTCTACTGTTGCAGTGCTTCAGTGTGTTCTTGTAGCCTCATAAAACTGTCTCATATGGCTATCAGTTACACAGACTTCCTCCTTTTCCCAAACACACTGTTGATCAATTTGGCCATTGACTTTGACCCACTCGAGCGTCTCTTCTCTTTGGCTTTGAAGTTTGTGGTAATGTTTCTCAGGGCTTTTGTGAACATTGTCATCACCTCCTGATAATGCTCTGCTGCAGACAGTTCACAGAACTGGCATTTGTTTTCCATTGCCAGCTTTTGTCCTTCATTCCAGCCAACTTCTCTCATATGACATAGATCCTGTTTATTACCAACAAGGAACACGGGCGACTCTACCACTCTGAAATCAAGGTTAGAGAAAAGCCTTCAAAAATACTATGTTGTGTCTGGTTTTGTCTATTATGCATGCAAATAAAACACAGATAGACCATAAAACTTTCTCTTAGCCTTATGTTATTCCCCAGAATGACAATTAGATTCTCAAAGTACTTTGCAATCAGTTATGGCTTCCAACATCTCTAATAAGGAAATGAATTCTCAGTATTATAGTTGCTTTTTTAGTAAGTCTGAAAAAAAAAAAGTTAAAGTAAATAGTTTGTATATTGAAAGAAAAAAAAAAAAATACACGAACTCAGGAACTAGAGCAAGTTTAAGAGAATACATTGTTAACTCCTGGGGTGCTTGTACACGTGATAGGGCAGGGTTTTATTCTATGCCCCCTAAATTGAAACAATGGTTTTTTAATTGAAAACCACCGTTTCAATTTTTTCCGTTATATTACAGTGAGGGGTCAAATCCTCTTTTTTCTTTTTTTCTTTTTTTTTTTTTTGTCAGAGCCAGAGTCTGCCAGCTGCCAGGGAGGATGACCTGCCACTGGGCTGAGTGGCCCCTGAGTTGTGGGGTGCCCTAGTCCTTCCCTACATGGCAGCAGCACCCCCCGGGGCCCACTAGGTGGGCTGCTAGCAGGCTGGATGCTGCCCCTGCTCAAAGGCAGCACCTGGTCCAATTCAACTCTTCCCCAACCCTGAGCTGGGGCAGTACCTGGACTGCTAGCAGCCCACCTGACATCACAATGTCTGTATTATTGGAAAAATCCAGGAATCTCAATTCCAAGACTCTTGCTAAAATGATTCAATCATGAGAAATCTAGTATAAGAAACTACGGCAGGCAGTGTTGACAAGTCACACTTTATTTATACAAGATGCTCCTCAGGTTGTGTTTTCCTGGGTCAATTGTACATGCATTATCTCTTATGATATTTCCAATATTTAGCATACACCTTTCTAAATTAATTCATTCATTCCTACCACATGCTAGTAATCTAGTTAAAACCATTTACTCTAGTAATCGAATTGAGTTGGTGTTACTGACAAGAACAAAGGCTAAGATGCATTTCTAGTGCCAGATTCTCCCCGGTTGTGTTATACTAGCATTTTCTTACTAGATCAGTAGATACTTGTCACAGCAATGACAGTAATAATAAGAGAAACTACGTTTCAGCATCTAATCTTGGTCAGTGGAGTGTTTTTATTTTGTTTTGTTTTTAAATGATGTCTAGTATAAAAGTATGGTTCACACGTGAAACAAGAATGAAAAACTTGAAGTGCCTTGGATTTGAGTGAAGTGGAATGGATTTCATTTGGCTGCTGAATTGATTATTGCTGGGGTGTTTCTATCATGCAGACTTTAATATTAATTGTTGCTAGGATGCCTGAAGCTTGCAGGCAGACTTATCTTTTTGTGGGTTAAAATGAGACACAACAGTCACAATCACAATGCCACTTACTTTTTAAAGGCTCCTAGATGAGACTCTCGTATCCTGTACAGCAATGCCTTTGCAAATGCAAATGAAGTTCTGTCACTGATGTCATAAACTATGACAAATCCATCAGCCCAGTGCAGTTCATTAGTGAGGGACAACTTTCCTTTTCGGGGCTGAAAGGTAAGAAAATGCATATGGTAATGGAAAAAAGCAGTTATTGTTGTCAGATTCTCTCTATGAATATATATTTTAAAATATATCTGTAAGGTGAAAGTCTTTTACTTTAACAAACCTACGTGCTGTTACAGATTATAATGTACAGGGCTCTGGGACTCACAAAAGCTCACAAAAGTTTCTGCAGTACAACTAATATGACTGTCACTGCGGATGACTTTCCTAATGAATATACTAACAGTGTTCCAGTGAACTCTGAACACTTCTAGAGGTTCAATCAACTGTGCTCCACTGACTGTAGAGGAGTCACTCTAAATCTATATCAAAGTGAGTGAGAATGAGATTTTGGCCATAAGTATTTGTTTAGATTTTACAAATATGTTTTCTAGTCATCTTAATATAGTGAATTTGCCAACTGTTCTTTTATAAGCTCCTTGTTCCCACCCCATTTCCTCTATATACTTTCTTGGTAGTGTCCAAGTCCATAAGTGTTCATCCAAGAGTATAAAGAGGAAAATCTGTCAAGCTGTAGTTGGCTCTGTCAAGACTGACAAATATCCCCAAATATTAGTGAGGGTGACTTAAGCCTCTTTAGCCCTTTTCTACTGGAAAACTGCCACTCGATCTGGTTTATAGAAATCACCCTTAAAAACACTTCTGTGCTAATGTGGATGGCAAAACTGAGCTAAATAAACAATTTATTTTCAGTATTATTTTTTTTTTAAAGCAACAAAAACAAAAGAAAACTAATTCCAAAGCATTGTCTGGCACCAATCAGCAAAATCATACAACCTGAGGCAATTCAAAACACCAGTCTTTTCCTTGTATCAAGTAGAGGGGTTTTAGCTGAATGTCTCCTATGCCGTTTTCAAGCACGAGAAGAGGTTCAGAGTTATTCCCAAACTCAGATCTCTGACAGTCATTTGCTATACTATGGAGCAACCTTTTTTTCCTGGAGTAAATTTTTTTTTCTTTTCTACATTTTAATTTTAATAAATCTTTTATTTTCTTACCCTAACTTCCCTAAAGCCTTGGAAAATAGATTTGCCCTTCAGTAGATAAGAACGTACATTTGGGAGGAGGGGAGAGGCAGGCAGCAGGGGGCAGTTAGTTAACATTAATGCTGGGTAGTGAGTACAGTATAGTGGGAGTGAAAGCCAGGGTAGAAAGGAAAACCTAAATGGAGAAAAGATGAAGTAGATCCAAAACAGGAAGGCATCAAAGGAAACCCACACACCACAAATGTGAAATTTAAGTAGTAAAGTCTGGTGTCAAATGTGCTGAAGGTAGTAAAAAGAAGGTATTTGTGACATAGGTGGGAGGAAGTCCTCAGATGATTTGACAAAATAAATAAGGCCTTCTTCTGTTTGAGCAAAATAGAATGGCCTTTTCACAAGCGCTGAAAGTGCTGTACAGGAAGAGAGCAGCAGCGTACCCGATAGTCAGGGCATGTCTATCACATGTCAGGATGGTATTTGAGTGCTGCCCTGAAAACATGCCTTCCCCCACCCCCGGCATCCTCCCACTTGCCCCTCTCCCTATGTATCCAATGCTGAAAGAAAGGTAAAGTAACCACTTTTCCCCCTATGTCCCAAATAGCTCTTAGGCTTAGGTGTGCTCATGAAAGCGTCACCAGGCATGCCTAGTACATCCCTAATAGTGACCAAGTTACATTTCCTTTGGCCTGTAGTATGTATCAGACTGGGAGAAAGTGGGCAGGGTATGTTTTCTTGGTGCTGCTCCCTATAATGACCTGTCACAGTATAGGTATAAGGTTTAAAAGGATAGTGTTATTGCTTTCCATATTAAACATTTTAAAGATGTCAATCTATGAAGGAACAGAGTAGATGTTATACACAGAAGATGTATCTGGCTCCAGATCTTTAGGCCTTAGCCCTCTTACAAGTGCATGTACCTGTAAGCTGTGCAGTTCCAATTTTGTTCCTGAAGCAATTAAATGGAAATAATACAAACTGCACACCCATATTCAGGGGAATATAAAGCTGACCTTTTTTTCTAATTGAAAATAGAAATGCTGTGCTTCTCAAACCTAGTAAGACAAGCTGGTTCATTGTTCTGTGGTTCTACAGTTCAGCAAAATCATTGTCATTGCTGAAGCTAGTGGAAGCCACAATGTACGTAATTCTCCAGGTTCCTGATATATTCAACACTGTTATTTAAAGAAAACTCAGTTGACCTATGTCTAACTGACATGGTAATTAGAGAGGCTCTGGCCTCTGTAGATTTGCCTTTACTACAACCTTTCACCAGGGTGACTTCACCAATACAATTTTTGGACAAGTTTCCCTTCTTTGGCAAAGTTTAATTTTGTTTTAGCAGCTCAGATCTTAAGGGATCAAAAATGTTTCTTGCCAAGAGATGTCCAAGTGAATGAGTTTCTGCTAGTTCTGTTAAAGTTGGGAAGGCACCCACTTTTAGAAAAGCATTACCAAACTTGACACATGAGGGAGCCAAGATATAAGGGACTCCACAATGCTCAGAGGAGCAGAACTTCCCCAGACCATGATATCCACCTGAATCATGGGCAGCAGTTGCATCTCTAGATGTACATGGACCTCAGGGAGCCACAGGACACAGAGCCTATTTGTTTAGAGGTCCCATGCCTACTTGCTAGTGGCAAGTTGCTTTTCTCCATCTCCTGAACAACAGGAAGCAAATGGAGTCAAGTTACTTGGACATCTGTGACTTCTTCCGGTTCCCACTGACCTGAGAAAGACAGTATGCACCTCCACAGCAGCAGCAGAAAAAGTAATGTCAAGCTTTACTAATATCTAGTTTGCAAATACATTAGTATTCACTTAGATTCCCTATGGGATTTGAGAAGGGTAGGAAGAAATAAACCTCTCTACCCCTCTCTTTATTATCTGTTCTCTGGCTACAGATTCTTGACCCTAGCCCACATACCCTTGATGATATCATGCTGGGTCTGTATAGTAAACAGTAGATTTAGGGCAGGGCAAGTCCACAGAGGCACATAATACAGCTGGGAGTGAGTGGCTCATCTGTGAAGGTGTGCATACCGCCCCATCACCATAATATTATTTTTAGATATTTGTATTAGCCATAAGCAGAGAAGGATGGAATAAAGTGACTACAAAGACCCAACTCAGAGGTGTTTTATTCTGGTCAGAATAAAGCCCAATAAAGGGGATGCCTGCATTATCAGTATCCTCGGATCGGATCTGCAATAATAGGGCGTCAATTATCAGAAACTGTCCATTGATTGACTATTTCAATTTGAAAAATAAACAATATATTAACCCTTCAGTAGAAACTTGGGGACACTATACAAACTCCTGTAATCCATTTTGCTCCTCTATAGTAAAATTCAATATGAGGTGTTTTGTTTACTTTATAATTTGCCAGTTTGAGATCCCATTCATATAACATGCCGAAACACTAACACGCTGACAAGAAAATACAATGGAGGGTGCATTCTCTTAAGCTGGACAGTGCTCAGAACAGTGTGTTCTGGTAGCTACACATCCATTATTAGAGGAATTTCTGCATCCTATTTCCATTACTAATGGTGAGTTACATTTTCTCAGCCACTCCACTCCTCAAGAAATAACTTTTAAGAATCATTTGGCTCTGTTATGTTTACCTGTGAACAAGGGTCATAAATTTCCAGATGTGTTTGTCTCCCATCCAGACAGAGGTGTTTAGTATAGATGCATTCTACAAAACACATGGCATAAAATGAGCATCAGCGTGATCAAGCAGGGCAAAAAACCAGGGTTGAAACCATTGTGGTGTCAGTGGAGAACCATAAGATTTGCAATATTGGTGTAGCCCCCAGGTCCAACAAACCACTAGTAGCACTTGAATTTTTACTGAGAAGTAAACCCACACATTGTTATGCACCAAGTGAATTATCCAATCTTTAACGGTGTCCCTCAGCTAATGGCTGGCCAGGCTCCATTCCACTGTGGTACGCCAGTCAGTGTTCTGATGTGCAAGAATGGTTGCACAACATAGTACTTGTCTTTTGGAATAGGAAGCAGGAAAGAGGATGCACAGATAGTGTTTCTGAATTATACATATTATGGAATTTTCCAAAGTCTTTTCATAAATACTCTAAATTTTTAGGGGATCTGACATCATAACTGCTGATTTGATGGGAGCAGGTGCTGACTATGAGTGAAGGGAAGAGGAAAAGTACATTTGAAAAATTAAATGCTGATACTCCCTTTATCTTTGCTGTTTCAGATTGTACAGCATATATGAGAAACAATATACAAAGTATATATATATTTTAATCTGGGTTAATTCTACGTAGTATTACACATTGTGTTGATATGAGCTTCTGTCACACAAATCATATTGGTTTGTACTTATAAAGGCAGGTATTGTAACAGTCTGCCTGAGTGCTTCTCTCACAGATACCATATTTTCTCACATATAATACACCCCAGAATAATATATTCGTTGTTTTTTTAGATGGCATAATGAAGAAGGAAAGAACTTTCCTTGTAGTAAGTAACTGAGTAGCAGTAGCAAGAGAGCTAAGCCAGCTCATTGTTCTGCTACCTGTGGACCACACACAGAATTTACTTTTGCTTTAACTTGGCTGAACCTTAAGCAACAGAAACTGCTGTTACCGTATTTCATCTCATATATTGCGCGCTCAAGTTCCCAGCATCTGGGTTTTCAGGGAAAAGGTATATGTTATATGCAATAAAATATGATACTTACTATTAGGTGCAATGCTAGCACCCTGAGCTTTGTATTTGTACCATAGTTAGCACTCGATCCAGTGCTGAACCAGTTACCAACAATGTTAAAAGCATGAAAAATTCCAAGGCTAGAAGGAGCCTAGGTGAGACTAAGGGTGCCTGTTCACAAGCAGGGAGGCTGCTCTGACACACTGTAATTCCAGTGCATCAGAGCAAGCTCAATTAACCAAGTCTGCTGGAGTGTGACAACTACTGTACTCCAGCAGCCTCCTGCATCTCATATATCACATCCCCATGCTTCAAAATAGTGGCAGGGGTGCTTTATATGGAGTTCATTCAACAAGTTTTAGTTGAAGCGCCCCCTGCCTCTTTAAAGAGCAGGGATGCTAATACATTAGATGCTCCAAGCGTTTTAATTAGAGTGGCTCTTGGAGCCACTCTAATTAAAGCCTGCCCCCTCCCCCGCCAAACACACACTTTCCAGAGAATGTGTGTAAATGCCGTAAGTGTCCGTGGCCAAATTAGTCCTCAGGAAAACTAAGTCCTAAGTCTTCCTAAGCCATGTCCTAAGTAGTTTACATTTCACCACTTCAAGAACCTTTGGCTGACTATTTAGGTTGGCAAACTAGAAAAAAAATCAAACCTGTACCCCTATCAAAACTTAAAATTCATTCAAAAAAAAAAAAAAAAATAGGAACACACAAGTTTCAAAACTTATCCTCTGTTTGATTCCAATAAAATATTGTGGGCTGTTTTGTTGATTTAGTATTGTAATCCCATTAGTTACCCTAAAAGGGGGCCAACAATTATTTTCAAGCAATATTTGCACAGGGCAAGCTTCTGTTTACAAATACACAAGGATTTTAAAATGTAAATTTCCCTTGAAAAACATTCTATAGTTCAAACTATAGAACATTCTATAGTTCTATAGTTATATGCAAAAAAAAGTATGATCTAGTTTTAGAAGACTGTATGCTCTGCAGTCTGTGCTTGCACAGTGTGCAAGTCCTCGTCCAGGACTGGAGTGCTACTGTAGTAGTAAAAAGTCAGTGGAACTGGGTAAGTATTCATTCATTGCATCTCTCAAAATCTCCCTTCTGATGCACTCTGTTTTCTCAAAGTCTTCAATAAGAACTTTGGAGAAGACATAAGTAACTTAAGGCCACTTATTCATTTTCCTTCAGAGTGCTCTTTGGAACAAGAGGTCTGCTAATAGTGTCTACAAAAAGATGGCAGTGGATAGGAAACCTTTGTCCCATCCAATGAAACATTAAGATCAAAAAAAGAGAAATCCAATCCATGTCAGGATGACACAGACATTTCAAAGCTCTTTCAGGAAAAGCAGAGGCAGACCTCACAACAGCCCAGTAATTAGGAGTACTTCCTCAGATGGAACTGACCCAGCTTCATCTCCTTGTACTGTCCATTAGGGCTGTGCGAAACGGCACCGTTCCATTTTGCCTTGAGTTTCGAGGTTTCAACGGAACAGCATTTCGCATCCAATTTCATTTCGATTAGAAACAGCTGTTCCGTTTTGCTTCGTTGAAACAGTGAGGCCATTTCAACTGTTTCAATGTTTTGCTAGATCCACTGGGGACGGGGAGTCAGCCTGGCTGGGCTGACTCCCCATCCCCAGCACTGGATCGGGCAGGGGCAGGAAATCAGCCCAGCTGGATCAGGCTGACTTCCTTCCCAGCGCTATGGTCAAAAAGTTTCGACTTTCAAAATGTTTTGACGCCCTTTGTTTTGATTTTGTTATTTCAACCTTGAAATAGGTCGAAACTGCATCGAAATTAAACTGCCAGTGAAATTTTGCACAGCCCTACTGTCCATTTCCTTACATTATAGAAGAGCATCCTGATGATTATGCTATTCTGTACTCCAGCATGGGTGTTTCTCTGGTTTATCCAGGAACTATGTCCTAATGAAAGTCCCATCAACATTAGTGAACTTCAAAAATGTTGGGTTCAATTAATCAATGTTTTCTGATCAAAGATTATATTGAAAGCTCCAGACCAAAACCATAGGGAAGGCAGAACCAAATGACTTGAAGGAAGTAAATTGTCTTTCTTTGACTGAAGCATACAGCAACATATCCAGCACTTTTGATCAAGTTAACTTTCTTTAACTCTTAAGTCTTTTTTTTTTAACTCTATTTCATTGCTACATTAGTTGGCCTACCTGTTCTATATAAGTTTTACAAAACTGTAAATATTGTCTTCTACTCTTTGCTCTTGTGTTTCTATCTAAAACCAACAAAAAAGACTTGACAAATTTAAACCATTATTTTTAAAAGAATGTTGAACCTTGATTTCCCTTTTCAAGATACTTTTTGGTCCAGTAAAGAAAAGGCTTTTACTAATACTTCAAGAAAGTATTTCCTCATCCTCTGTTGCTCTGTTCAACAAACTTAGAATTACAGAAAATGAGGGTTAGAACAGACCTCCGGAGGTCATCTAGTCCAACCCCGTGCTCAAAGCAGGACCATCCCCAACTAGATCATCCCAGACAAGGCTTTATCTAGTCAGGTCTTAAAAGTCTCCAAGAATGGAGATTCCACCACCTCTCTGGTAACCTGTCACAGTGTTTTACTACCCTCCTCCTGAGAAAGTTCTTCTTAATATCCAACCTAAACTTCCCATGTTGCACCTTGAAACCATTGCTACTTGTCCCGTCATCTGCCACCACCTTAACTTGTAGAACAGAACCATTCCACTAGTAGGAAACACTCTCCTAGAGAACTCCTGGCATATTTCTTCACAAGTCACAGCAAATTCAAAGTCACCTTAGGTACTTCTGTGGCTTGGTCAGGGGTTGGAGGGGAGACTAGTGCCAGAGCATGGAAAAAGACCAGAGGCGAGGGTTGAAGGTGAGCTTACCAGAATTGGAAGCGTATTCCCCAATGAAGCGCCGGGTGAGGAACCTCACGGTCAGAGCTGTAATACAACAGACCCCAGCTTTAAATTGGAGCACACATCTGGGTACCTGACCTCTACCCTCCTTGGGATCACAGGGAAGTAGGGCTGGAAGGAACCTCCCCAGGTCTTCCAGCCCAGCCCCCTGCTTCAGGCAGGAGCATCCCTGACTAAAACAGCCCAACTAAGTGCCTGACTTCTTGATTATTGGTTTGTAGCCATGTTGGTCTAAGGACATAGGTTCTTTGGGTAAATATAATTTCTTTTATTAGGCTAACTAAATAGTTGGAAAAATTGTTCTTTGCAAGCTTTGGGGCACAAACACCCTTCTTCAGGCATTGGAGAAAGTCTGCTGTAGGTTTGGGTGCTCTCCTGCCTGTGGAAAGCTTGCAAAGAAGTTTTCCAACTATTTGAGTTGGTCCAATAAACGATATCAAAATTTACCCAAAGAACCTTGTCTGCCCATGTGCTTAGACCAACGTGGCTACAACCTACGCTCCTGCCTGCCGGCCATCTGAGACCCCCTGGTAGCCTGTCTACAGTTTACTGGCTGCATTATTTCACCAGGTCAGCATCTCTGTGTCCCCTCCCCGCCCCATTGTCTACCACTTCAGCAACCCTTGGCTGAATATTTAGGCTGGCAAACTAGAAAAATCAAAGCTTCACCCCTATGAAAACGTAGGGGGGGGGTTATATATAAAAATGTAATAGGAACAGAAAAGTTTTAAAAAGCATCTTCTGTTTGACTCCAATAAAATGTTGTGGGCACTCTTGTTGATTTCGTATCCTAATCCCATTAGCTGCCCAACAAGTGGGACAACAACTGTTTGCAGTTGTGTTTTCACAGACCTGCATTTTTGCATCTGGGCTTCTAGGAGCGCAGCCAGCCCCACAGCAGGCTCTCTCCAGTGCCTGAAGAAGGCTGCCTGTGCCTGAACGCTGGCAAGGAACAATTTCCACCCACCCCCCAGTTATTTAGGTAATAAAACATACCGTATTTCCCCAAAGAGCCTCCTCTGACTCCCTAATCTCACTTGGAGAGAGGCGACGGGAAGGGCTGGAGCCCAAGCGGGCGCGCACACGCACGGAGCCGCGGGTCGGTGCCTGTCTCTGACAGGACCCCGGCGGCGCCCCCGCGCCCGCGCCCCCTTACCCGACTTGCCAGCTCCCTCGCTGCCCAGCACCGCCAGCTTCACCTCGCTCATCCCCGCCGACCCGGCCTCGCCTCGCCTCGCCGCGCCGGGACCAGCCCGAGCCTCTTGCTCCCCGCGCCGCGCCGCCGCTTTGTAGCCGCGAGGAGGCATCCGGCACCGCTCCCGCCCCGCCACAGCCTCGGGGAGGAGCCGGGGCACTGCAGTGCCCCCTTCTCGCTCTTTCCTGCTTTAAACATTAGAAGCCAATTGCCAAAGGTCTTTTTCAGAAGTACTCCGATCTTTTTTAAAGGGATCTGACCTCGTCCCTGCGGATCTGATGGGAGAAGGTGCTATGAGTTTCGGTGTCCAGGTGGTCTGGAGGCAGAAGGAATCACAACTCGTGGAAGAGGATCCCGCTTTTATTGGACCGACTAGATATTTGCAAACGCCTTATTTGAATCTTTTTTTTTAATCCTTTATTAAACCAACTAGACCAACTTTTTTTTTTAATCTTTTATTAGACCAGCTCGATAGTTGCAAACAAATTATTTTAAATTTTTTTATCTTTTATTAAACCTAGACCGACTCTTTATTAACCCAACTAGATATTTGCAAAGAAGTTTTTTAACCTTTTAAAAATCTTTTATTAGACCTACACCAACTTTTTAAAATCTTTTTTAGACCAACTAGATATTTGCAAACTAATTATTTTATTATTTTAATCTTTTATTAAACCAACTAGACCAACTTTTTTTTATCTTTTATTAGACCAACTAGATATTTGCAAACAAATTATTGTAATTATGTAAAATCTTTTATTAAACCAACTAGACCAACTTTTTAAAAATTATTAGCCCAACTAGGTATTTGCAAACAAGTTTTTAAACCTTTTAAGTCTTTTATTAGACCTAAACCAATGTCTTTTTTATTTTATCAGATGAACTAGATATTTGCAAACAAATAATTTATTTTTTTTATCTTGTATTAAACTAACTAGACCAACTTTTTATCTTTTATTAGCCCAACTAGATATTAGCAAACACATTTTTTAGCCTTTTTTAAACTTTTTAATTAGATCAACTAGACCAACTTTTAAAATCTTTCAGTAGACAAACTAGATATTTGCAAACAAGTTTTTTAACCTTTTAAAATCTTTTAGTAGACCAACTAGACCAACACTTTATCTTTTATTAGACCACCTAGATATTGTAAGCACAATGTTTTAATTAATTATTTGCATTATTTTAATTTGTTTGCAAATATCTAGGTGGTCTAATAAAATATACCACCTCTTCCGTGAGTTTTGATTCCTATGAGTTTAGGAAAGAGAAAAAGTACATTTGGCAAATTAAATGCTGAGACTCCCTTTATCTTTGCTGTTTCAGATTGGACAACATGTATGAGTAACCATGGACAAAGGGTATATATGTTTTTAATCTAAGTTAATTATACATATTATTACACTGTGTGTTTATATGAGCTTCTGTCATCCAAGCCATATTGCTTTGTCTTTATAAAGTCAAGTATTGTAACAGTCTGTGCTTGAGTGCTTATCTCCCCCCAGCAAGGCACACCACCCCCCACTCCCCCACCCCAACTTCAAAACACATGTCAGCTACTAACTCTGCCCCCAGCTTGGGATCAGAGGAGAGCAGGGCTGGACAGGATCTCAGCAGATCCTCTAGCAGGAGCATCCCTGACTAAAGCAGCTGACTTCTTGATCTTACTTTGAGAGTGGTGGGTGGGGAGGCGGCTGTCTGTAAAGATTTATTAGGAGCTGCGACAGACATTATGGCCTTGTTTGCATTTCCTGGAAGCCTCCCCCAACCCCCCTAAAACTCTCCCCAAAATGGAACAGATAGTGCGAGCCTTTTAAAGCCAAGTGAAAATTCAGTCATCCTGAAACTTTTTTTTTCTTTACGTGATTTGTACGGCAATTGTTTCTCAGGTAGACCAAGACTTCAGAGTTTGGTAAGGACTTTTTTCACGTGTGCTTAAATTGGGAGTAGGATCAGCTAAGTACCTTTGATTCGGAAGTATTTTGAAAGTGGTTTATGTGTTCGGAGTTCCAGTTGTGTTACAGATTTGAACCAGTTTCTGGTGACTCATACTGGTTTATGTGTAATGTCTCTCCCTAGCCTCTGTGAGTGTGTATGTATAATAAATATGTATGTGTGCATATTTGTGTATGCATTTGTGTATATGTATTAGTGGGGGGAGCAACCACAAAGTAGCCCTGCACGCTTCCCGAGTGCCACTCCAATCAATTTCCCTTGCCTCATTTGCAGTTCTGCTTTGTCCTCTCTGTCCTTTCCCCAATCTGCTGTAGGCCACACACAAAGGCTGCCCATGTCACTTGTGGCACACGTGCCACAGGTTGGCCATCCCTATATTATATATATGATATATAGAGATCATAACTCCAGTGTCTTTCATCCAAAATCTTCAAAGCACGTTACAGTTATTTTGTTACCAATCTCGCAAACAGCACCGCCCTTTACAGATGTAAATGGTGTTGTTGGATACTGTGAGGCTACTCAATTGCATGAAGTGATTTGGCTGCCTAAGTCATAAAGCTAGATCCTCAAAAGCTCTCTTCAGTTCCTGCCTCAGCAGCAGATACCTATAGGTGGTAAATTTTCCAAGCCCCTAACTGTGCTGCTGGGCATGTCAGAACTGCCTCAGTCTTGATGCCACTAGCAGTCAGGTTTCTACCCTGATCCTAATCCTGGTTGGGATTCACACCTAGGGAGTTCCTCCCCTCCATGCCCCATCTTTTCTAGGAATGTAGCTACCAGATATGGCTGCAAACAGAGGATCAGTCCCTCCATCCTTTGACTCAATGCCCTAGTAGTTTATCATGGTGGGATGTGAGCAAGTGCTTTTTAAGTCCTTGTGCATGAGAGAATTTAAACCAACATTTCCTACTTCTCCAGAATGTGCTTCAGCATTAAGCTATAGAGTATTCTGGAATGAGGCTCTGAATTTCTTCTGTTCCACATTGTTTTAAAATGCTCAAGTATTCTTTTTTTTTTTTTTTTACAGGGAACTGAGGTCTCCCCAGCCAGGTGAGCACCACAACCACTAGAATCCAGAAGCATGATTATTCCACAAAAAACAGAACCACTTGAACAGAAGAACATGAGAGAACCCCACTCCACAATACTTGGCAGTGTGCCTGGTGCTTAGCAAACTCTTATTCTGAGAGGTTAAAGATATAGATAGCTTTAAGCTTTGTGACACAGATGAATGCCTTGAATCCGAGTCTCTCAGGTCCATCTAAGTACCTGAACCTAATACTGTCATTTTTTTTTAAAGGATTGACCCAGTTGCCCAACTCCTTAAGAGGAATCAAAATCCCACCCAAGAGTAGAGAAGTATTCACCTCCTGAGGCAGTGAGCGGGGGTTGGATTATGATCTTTTCATTGACATTCCCTATTGGCTAGATTTGGCAATTCCTTTTCTGCATCCCTATCGTGAACACAATACACTTCCCAGATATTATATAAAATGAATAGTTAATTTGAGGCTGTGGATTACATTAGATAGCATGCTACCTAAAATGTAGGTGCAACCTAACTCCTTTTGTGGCTCGAGACCAGCGATTGTCACCTGGGTGTCTATACTTGTTTGGAGGGCCATAAGATCCTTTTAAAGGCTCTGCGGGAGGGATGCTGCACAGTGTTAACCCTATTCAATGTGTGAGTACCTACATATGATTCACCAAAGAAATCCAGAAATGTAATATGCAAGTCCCTAGTGTCAAAATCTTTCTGGTCAGTTGCAGTCCTTCTGAGATCTTTGCAACAGAAGAATTACTTCATTATTTTTTCGTTGTCAAAAATAAAAATATCACTCAGGAATACTGTTCTTTTACAAATGAGAGAGAAAGAGAGAGAGAGAGAGAGAGAGGAACATATGTATTGGACATAAATAGCATGATTATTTATTAAATTCTTAAATGAAGACCAAACTGCATGAGTTTTCCAAATACATATCTTTAGGTGCACATAATAGAATTAGGCTAATGCAGAAAAAAAAATATTCAAATTAATTTGTACTTTTAATTAATTCACTTTGGCCATGTTCCCATAACTTTTAGGTTTATTTTAGTTAGTATATTTGCAATCAAGTTTTATTAGCAATTGATTTAATGGAAAGAAATGTTAAGCTCATGAGCACAAATAATCAAGTAGCACATATGAATGTATACTTCTTGTATACATTCATACAAAAAGTCTTTTGTAAAAGTTGCTTATTAATTACAGAATGAAAACAGTACTTTGATTTGTATGCAGCTAAACAATGCAGTTTAAATTGCAAGAGCAATCAACACAACATTTGCCACAAATTATTCAGGACTACTTCCAAAATATGACTTGTTAAAAGTTTTTTTGTAGTAAACAAGGCAGAATTCATCAAACATTTTAAGATGAATTATTTGCTTGGCTGTAGCATGGAATATTTAGTGATGCCATTGTTTTGTCTCTTTTACAATTATTTACTTCAATGAAAAGAGATATTACACCATGCCATTCTGAATTGCAATTTATTTTACATTTTCTTTCTATTGATGTAAAAGGCTATACAAGGGAAAAGGAGATTTGATTCAACCTGTTTCTTGAATTGGGTTTACACATTTTCTTAAACCCAACTCAGAATTCTTTACAACATCTTCAGTGCTAATAGGATTGTAGAAAACTACTCAAAAGATGTAAAGAAAATGAGTTGTCACACTCAAATATTTTTTTCAGTGTGATCAACAGTTCAGGGGAGAGGTTTCTGAAAGTTTCTGTAGCTCACATTCCTATATAAATAGTCTCTTTGCATCCTACTGATTATAACTGTATGTTACAACTGTATCTGCTCTCATCCCACTGACTGAGATGTACACTTGAAGGATCTAGAGCAGGAATTCCTACACTTAGGATATAATCCTAAAACCATAGCCAATCAAGTTGACAGAGCCAGATTCAGAACCTGCTCTGACCAGATACTATACAAACCCTGAGACAAGGACAAGAGAATCCCTTTGTTTGTCACTTACAGCCCATAGTTCGAACACCTTAGACACATCATTAATGACCTTTAACACCTCCTGGAAAATGAGGACTACCTCAAGATAGCCATAGGGACAAACCTGTCCTGGTTTACAGACAGCCCCTCCAACCTTAAATAGTGTCTTTCCAACAACAAACTAGCTGCAAACACTATTTCCACCAAGGTGTCAGACCTTGCTCCAGACACTTTTCTCCTTTATCAACACAGACCACGTTAACACTGGACCAAATAATATAAGGTATAACATCCAAGATTCATTTACCTTCATCTCTACCAACACCATATATGGCATCATCTATTTACAGTGCTCCGTTGCTATCTATATTGGACAGACAGGTGATCCCTACAC